AACTTCGTTCAACTCAGGGGCTGTCAAGGCCTCTAAGGATGAATGGCTTCAACACGACGGCATGGAACTCGATGAGCTGAGTGATAAGAACTTTGGCCTGATGAAGACAAAGGTTGACAAAATGGAGATGGAGCCAGAGCTCAGGGATTTCTTCAAGAACCAGGCTGGTGGGGATGGGTCTGATGGAGAAGGAGTTGAAGAAGATGATGAGGATGACCCAAAGCCGATTTTGAAGAACAAGAACAAAGCCAACAAGTGGGAGGAACTCTCACAGGTGGGCAAAGCTGATGACAAGGGCTCCCTACAGAAGAAGCTCTTGGCCTTTAAAGCTGAGATCACCAAGGATGAGGCAGCCCTAAGCTCGCTACTGATTGACATGAAAAAGGAGCCAGGGAAACACAAAGAGGAGATCGTCTTTGTCAACTCAGCCATTGCCTGCCTGGAAGCCAGCCTCAAAAAGTGTGAGAAGGTCTTCAAATCCATTCCAAGCTTTGGGAAAGTCGAAGAAAGCAAAAAAGATGAAGCTCAAAAAGCCGAATGCCAAAAGCCAGGAAGATGATGAAGAAGAGGATGAGTGAGAGGGCTTGAACAAAAGCCATGGCAGCAGCACCTAGAGGAAAATATGCACCGCGCTTGTGCCCTGGCTATCCAGCCAGCCCTGGCTATCCAGCCAGCTTTGCATTTTGAGCACATGCATGTACATGTGCTTGTATGGCTATCCAGCCAGCATTTGCATGACTTGGAAATGGTTGGTTTGCACATGCCTGTGTTCCTGGCCCAAGCACTAGTTTGTCAAGTAGCCAATTGGTAGCTACAGTAATTGTAGTTGGATTTTTTAGGTGGCTGGAAGCCACATGGGTAGAAAAAGGGTTCTAGAACTAGAGCAGCATGGGCCTGAACCTGAAGAAGCACACTCTCCTCTCTGCACACTGCTTTTACACAAGTTTGTCCTTGAAAAGGTTTCTGCAGTTGAAGTTCAACAGTATGCTGATGCAGCTGTAAAATCTGGCGCCAGCCACAGTGATCTGATCAGTCTACAAAGGCTTGGAGGACATGGGCGAAGCCCGCAAAACACCCACAGGGACCTTTGCAGGTTACACTTCAAGTCATTGCGCACACCTGTGCCTCACATGGTTACAACAAGTGTGCGCATCAGAGGCACTTTTGGAGAGCCAACTGTGAGCAACGAAGGAGTGCCTGTGATGCTTCCACATATGTGGGTGCAAAGTCTGGAGCAGCATGAGCTACTGCAGGAAGTTACAGCAAAGCCTGGTGACCTCGCAAGTTTCTGGAAGCAACAGGATTTCAAAAAGAACAACCAGCTGCTGGCATGCAAATTGTTTTGGAAAAATGTGGACTTGGAAGGACTCTCGGCCCTTCGTTTAGTCAATTGTTATCTATATTTTTCCTGTGGCTAGCAGTTTCACTTGTTGATGGTCAATTTTGTTTCATTCATTTTCCTTTTCGATGTCAATTTGTCTAGATTAGGAACGGACTTGCCCATCCCCTGGCTTCTGCATGGTGATGGGGCCCCATTCTCTGAAGTGGATTCCATGCAGGTGGTCAGCATGAGATGTGTGATCAGCAGTGTGAGCATTCAATATTCTGAATTTGTTTTGGCTTGCCTACCAAAAAGTGCAAGGGCTGACAGCAGCTGGCAGCCTATTTGGGAAGCTATTGCTGAGAGTTTCAAACACCTGGCGTCGGGGAAGCTTGCTGATGGCACACCAGTCAGAAAAGGAGTTCTTTTTGTCATCGCAGGGGATCTGGAGTGGTACTCTCAAGAATTTGGTTGGCCTACAGCTATGTCAAACAAATGCTGCCCTTACTGCAATGCAGAAAATTTATTTGAAGGTGGCACAATGCCATTTACAGATTTCAGAGACGACGCGTGCTGGAAACGCAGCATCAAAACATTCAAGGACAAAGCCCCTGCTGACCATCCACTTTATAAGATACCAGGAGTTTGCTGGTGGACCACCAAGCTTGACCTCTTGCACATGATGGACCTTGGTGTTGCAGCCCACGTGTATGGGAATTTGCTTTGGGTCATCATTGAAGATATTCTGCCTGGGTCGAGGCCAAGCTCTATGAATGCAATAAACACATTGATTGCCAAGATTTATCATGATCTTGAAACCTTCTGGGAAAAGGCTTCCAAAGCTGAATTTGTCTGATGTGTGCGCAGGTGGCAAAGAGTACCCTGTGCTGAAGCATGTGAAAGGTAGAAGGGTCAGGGCTTTTGCACCTGTGGCCCTAAAATTGGCAGATATGTACGCCTCAGATCACACAACAGGGAAACACATGCTGGCCCTGTGCAAAGCATTGGCCAGAATCTACAACCTTTGTGATAGAGAATGTTTTATTTGGCCTCAGCCAGTTGCTGCTGAGTTTGGAACACAATGCAGAGTAGCCCTTGCGCATTACAGCTGGCTGGCTAAAGATGCCATGAATAAATCCCAGTACAGGTGGTCAATCGTGCAGAAGCACCACCTTTGTGCACATTTCCCATCACAGTGCCAGCACTTGGCCCCAAGGGCTTGCTGGTGCTATGGCCCTGAGTCTTTCATGTCACTAATAACCAAGATTGCAGAGGCTAGTGTGAAGGGGACACCTGCATGGAAACTTCCTGCCAAAGTGCTGGACAAGTTTGCACTGTCCTTTCACATGCTCTTGAAAGGTGAGCTCAACGCGGGCACGGTGCAAGGTCTTTCTGTTGTGGAGCAGGAAGTGCAGCGCTGCAGTGTCATTTTGCGGGAGGACTTGTGCAAAATGGCGGACAGCGGCTACAGACCACTTTGGAGAAGAATCACACTGCAAGAAAAGTTGGAGTGGCAAAAGCTTCAGCAGGACTGGTTTGGTTGCCCTTAGGGTCGTGTTGTACAGAAGACTGGACTGTCAGGGACTGGACATATTCTTTCGCAATCGGCTTGATGTGGCAACCGCAGTTTTCAACATCGCCGTGCCTATGTTTGCATCAGCAGTGTTGGTTGCTCTTTGTATTGTTGATCAAGTTGAATGAAGGCATCAAACTCTCATCACACTGGCGCTGGTACTGTATTCTGTCAGGAGCTACTGCCAGAGCTCAAGAAGCAATTGGGGCCATTGGAGGGTGCTCGACAATGCGTGGACGACATCCATGCAAAGTTGATCAAGACGCTGAAGGCACAGGGTGCAGGTTTGATGTAGCGGATCCATAAAACTGACCTCTTTGCACAATGTTTTCCACCCACCTTGTCATGCATGGCATTTTGCAAAGTGTGGCAAAAGTGATTGGAAAGCCAAATTGGTTCCCAGGCCAGTTCCAAATCCATGACCCAGGACCTCATGCCGAGGAAGGCTGCGGTAGCACCGTTGACCACAAGACCTATGGATAATTCTCATTGGGCCTCTTGACTGCTGGGCTCTGAATACTTGGAGCAAGCCAGTCTTGAAGCGGGGGTGAAAATGTTTCTGGAGGACAGTCCCAGCCATACATGGGTGCGGCCGCCTTTCCATTTCTTCACACGGGTGGGCCTTTTTACGGCCAGGTTTTGAATATGACCCACCCAGCGTTTGCATTCACGATGCGTTTTTCGCGTTAGGTACACTTCTTGGAGCTCAAGAAGCGTCCTGTGGCCACTCCGCAAAAGCGACCTGCTCCCATGGACAACCACCCAGAGCAGATCCTGCCCAGCAGCTCCAAACAACCGAAGCCACATGCCTGCCCCAACCTTTCGGCTCCATTGTCACCAAGGCTTCCTGCAACAGCTCATCCGAGTCGCTGTAGACAGCTGGCGCTGGCTTCAGGTGCAACTTTCCCTGCTCCACGCGGCCGCTTACCTTGTAGGTGACCACAGTGCCTGCAACATTTGAACGCAAAAAACTCGGTTGCTGTCTGCTCCCCTGCTAAAAGCTTCAATTGTACTGGTTTCATGGAAAACCCATTAGTTGGCAAAAAGCTAGAGTCCTAACATCCAAGCAAAATGCAACAAAGAAAGCCCAACATGGGGGCATCTAAACCGCATGGTGATTAGTGTTTGCAGTAGCAAAAACTTGTCAAGCAAGTGACCCAGGCACCTTGCTCAGCCACATTTTCGCGCGGGGGCTGCCAATAGGCCACCAGTCCTTTCACCCAAACGCCCTGCACCTCTTTGAGACAAAGGAAGATCGGTGCTTTCGCCAAAGTCAGGTCCAATCTCCAAACATCACCTGCGTGAAGCAACCGCGTAGCTGCCAGATGGTCGCGATACGCCATCCCAACGACCATGGCACAATAGGAATCAGACGCTCAGATACGAAATGTGCGCTCTTGGGAGTCTCAACATCTCTTCTAGCCTGGAACTGTTTGCAATGGATTGACAAAAGCTTGCAAGTCAACTCGAGGCTGACTCTTTGATCTGACCAAAAATTGGAGAAGAGACTTCAAGGAGGTCCACGCAGCATGGTCACAGGGCCTTGACATTGCAACTATCTTGTCAACGGTCGCGAAGCCGCTTGAAGCCCCGCAGGATATGGCCACCGCGGTGTTTGGCAAGCCGCGCAGACGCATCACAAGCTATTTAAAACAAAGCAGCACTTTCAAGTTGCGCTCTATTCTCATCCTGCCAGCTTGAACATATGAGACTCCAGAGCAACACTTGACTGACGCATTTCCAAACTCTTCATCTAGTTGCTACAATGCCAAACAACAAACCTCCTATGTCGCTGTGGAATACTGTCCCGGATCTCAAACACTTCTGTGATACTAATAGACGGCCGCGCAAAATGGCGAATGGTCCATGGGGACGTTCCCTGGTACCGAAGTGGGAACAGTGCCTTCATTCCCGCACCAGTTCAAGCAAGGGGGAGCTACATGCGCCCATTCAGGGCGAGGATACCAAGAAGACCGAAAGGAGGCGAGGGTCTGGAAACCCATAAAGGTATGCGCCATGGGCGGATTCCAAGTTGAGTGACATTTTCCTTTTGGCTTCCCTAACCACAGGTACACCCCAGTGGAAAAAAAACGTATCACCTCCCGCCTCGCGCAGGGACCGAGCGGAGACGCACCTGATACGACCCGTTGCCTTCACCGAAACGACCAATGGATGAGTTTCCCAAGGGTTTTCGCCGGCTCTCAAAATCCAAGGCTACCCCAAACACCTCCAACACCAATCCAAGCCGTTGAAACCAAATTTGGCCAAAACACCTACCTCAGCTTCAGCGCATCCAACCCCAAACCCGGCTTGTTCACCCAAAAAACAAGGCGGGGTCCAAAAATCCACGGTCCGGCGAAAGGCCATGTCGAGTGCACCTCAAGTCTTGCTTTCGGATCTGAAGGTGCTTAAGTTGATTGAATGTTTGTCGTGAACCTGCAAAATACAAAATGAGGTCATTGGGGTGGATGGCGGGTATAGCGCAAAAATAAGAGCCCTGAGCCGAAGGGGCAGTGAGCTGATCCATATCGGTTTCCCACTGAGGTCCCCGAAAACGGGCAGCATCAAAAACGACACGCCCAAATGGCTTTACCATTTGAAGAGTTGGAATGTTCCAGAAATAGTTGGTGCACAATTCCCAATGCAAGTGACGTCCACCGAAGGGTCCCTGAGTAAAACATACTCATGTGTTTGCACTAGTCGCGATCAAAACAAGCGGTTTCACCAAACCACGAATCTCTTTCAGGGACTCCTTTCCTGAGGCTTGTTTGTGCACATGCTGTGGACCCCAGTGATCTTCCGCAAATCATCCCTCATCTTGAATGAACTGAAGCCCCTTCCTGGCGTGCAGCTGAAACAATCTTCGGGGTTGCAGCCCCATGAACCCCAGGCAATTGCTCGAACTCGACTGAAAATCGTTCTCTTTAGCCCCGGATCGGGAAGTTCATTCTGCAGAATGCCGAAAAACCCTCTCCATTCTGGTCTTGTTTCTCTTGGTCAGGGAATGAGAAATGGCTCATGACCCTTATAAACCATCCCTTGCTGGTGGTTTCCTTCAAGGAGACCCCTTGCTGGTAGTTTCCTTTCAAAAAAAAAACCTGAATTCCTTCCCACATGCCCTACCTATCGCGCCAGCCAGTTTTGTCAAGCTCAGTGCGTCCATGCCTTTCAAGGCGCCCGGAAAGAGTTGTATAAGTCGAGGCCACGGAACCCTGGTGCCTGTTATTGGGCTCTGAGGTTTTTTGGGAAAAGTGGAGACTGCGGGGCCCTCGCGTTTAACATGGGTTTAGGGACCCCTTTCAAGCTCATTTGAGCGCCAAAGGTCGTTTTACTGGGTTGTTCTACCTGGTTTAAGGGTTCTAGTAGGGCTCAAATAAACCTTTGCAACCATCTCAATAGGACCAAACATCAACAGGTTTGGGCACTCAACTTGGATGGATTTAGAAAAACAAATCTTTGGAGGATCTCTTGAACATCCCCTCAGAGTCCACAGTCCTTTGCTTTCGCCGCGCTCCGCGGTCCGTCTGGTGCCCCACGACCCCCCCCCCCCGACCCCCCCCTTCACGGCCCTCTCCTTGGAGCTGTTCGGCGGGGTGCGCCTGCCGGGAAGAGGCCTAGACCCCAGACCTCAGACCTGGGCCAAAGCTCAAAGCGTTCGGATCCCTACAAGTGACGAACTGGTGGGGCAACAAAAATTCGGAAACCCGCCACCACGAAACCCAGGAAAGAAGCGAGAAAAGGAAAAAGGCTTAAGGAACCGGATGGCTGGGAGCCACCAAGTGGTGCAACACCAAAAGCCCAGGTGACACGTCCTTGCACGGCTCTTTGTACCCCTTTTGGCCATTGCCCTGTGCTTGTAGCCAATCTGCTCTTTGACAAAGCTGCCAGTTGCCCTCCGTTTTGGTTGCAGGACCCCCACGGCTGGCGTTGAAAGCGCCAGAACGACACCGTTGCCGTTGGGCTCCGAATGAAACGAGTGCACTCCATGCGCCTCACCTGATCGGCGCTGGGATACAGGGGGACCTCTATCCCATGTTACGCTCCATTTCGACCAGGTCGCCTGCCCTCCCCCCAATTGAAAAAAGGAAGCAAGCAAGCCAACAAACAAGAAAACAAGCAAATCAAACTATCGAGCAAACAGACTAACAAGAAAACAAACAAACCAAATCACAAGCAAATCAAACTAGCAAACAAACAAACAAAAACAAACTTGACATGGAATCGCAATTCGCCAAAACCCCCAGTTCGAGCCCTTCGACCCCTCGACCCTTCGACACCTGGCGGGCGGCACCAAGGGCGGCGCAGCACGCAGCGCCAGGAGCTGGCCGCGTGCTCAGCTTCCGATGGGGAAGAAATCTTGCATTTGCATGTGGGCCATGGACCCGACATGGACCCTCAAAACGGGTGGTGACCGGTGTCCTTTGTCCCTTAACCTCACCAACCTCACCTCGTGCACCTCGTGGGTGGGAATGAGTTCCGGGTGGGCGGGCTCTTGTTCTTGAACTTGAGTCATTGAAACCAAATCCCCAAATGGAAGCCAACAGCTGGTGCGTAAGCTTTGGATGGCCTTACTTCCTGTTTGGCCAAAAAGCGTCCAAACTTTTCGTCCAAACCCAAGAAGTATTCGGCAACCTCAAGAAGTGAGTTGGCCCGGCCTGCCCTCTGCCAGGGGTCACCACCAATTCCCCGAATTCAACTTGATCAACTCGCTGGCGGGTTCGATTGAAACCGCCATAGGTCCAAAGCGCTCCTCCCAGCCAACTGGGCACCGGGCTGCTGCCTGACCCAACGCTGGCTGGGAC